GTCAAGGTTATATAGACCTCAGCAAAGGACTTCCTTTGTGGGGAGATTTTTCATTGCTGATATACTCTCGAACAGATATAGAACTATTGATATTTTCTACTTTTTTTAGTGTCATTTTCTCTAAATTGGGTTCTTAAAGAACTTATCTATTTGTTCTAAATTTTCAAGCTTCATGTCATAAAGTTTTTAATCTACTTAATATTTTTAAAATTTTTATAATATTTTTTTCTTTTTCATTTCTGATAATGGCGAATTATGTTTCTTTCTCTCTCTCCTTTAATTTGTGTCTTCCCACAGGTTTATCAATTTCATCACTTTTTTCAAAGTGCCAACATTTTAGATTTACTCATCTCTCTATTATATTCTTACTTTGTATTTTACTGATTTCTGCTCCTATTGTTATTGTTCTTCTACTTTTCGTAAACTTGCTATACTATTTCTAACTTCTTGAGTTGGAATCTTAGAGCATTGACTTTTAACTCATATATATGTAGTAGATAGATAAAGATACAGGTAGACACACACATATCTACATATGTATACACACACACACATAGACATATATGTGAATATAATGTACAAATATGCATGAATATACTTTCATTTCTTGATTTCTCTTTTAATTTTTTCTTAGAGGCACAGATTATATATAGTATGCTTTTAAAATTTTCTATGCATTCGAAGATTTTCTCTTTGTTTTCTGCCATTGAGTTTAATATAATTGCCCAGTAGCTGGAGAATGAATATACAATCTAAAACTTCACTCTTTTGGAACTTGTTGAAACTTGCATTATGACCTGGGTTATGTTCTATTTTACTAAACAGGAACTAAAACTTGCAGTGTTTTATCTGTTTTTCAGCCTAAGTCATTAATTGTATTTTCAACTTTCTACATCCTTACTGGGTTTTTGTCTAATATTTAATCAGTGAGAGATGTGTTAAAAGTTACCCAGATATCATCATGGTTTTTTTTTTTCTATCCTTTTCAGTTCTGATAACTTTTGATTTATATATTTTGAAGATATTTTTAATAGGTAAGTTTTCATTTAGGGTTATTATTTCTTCCTGCTGAATTGACACTTTTATTTGCATTAACTATCTCTTTCTCACTTTCATAATATTTCTCACCATGAAGTCTAACTATCTGATATTAATATAGTGCACAGGCTATATTGGGCTTCCCAGATGGTTCAACAGTAAGAATTCTCCTGCCAATTCAGGAGAGATGGGTTTGATCCCTGGGTTGGGAAGATCCCCTGGAGAAAGAAATGGCAGTATTCTTGCCTGGAAAATTCCACGGACAGAGGAGACTCACAGGCTACAATCCATGGGGTCACAAAGCCTCAGACAAGACTGAGCATACAGGCGCTACAGGCTATGCTGGCTAATATTTCTATAGTGTATCTTCTGTCTAATATTTCACACTCGGCATTTCTGTGTCTTTTTATTTAAAATGTCTCTTGCTAATAGCACTGAGAAAGAAAGGAATAACAATTTTGCCTCCCAGACATAAGCTCCTTGCAGGGCAGGAAACTAAGCTTGGGAAAAAAAACCCTTTTAAGAACGTCACATGAGAAGTGATGGCCTCGGTAAAGACTGAATGTCCTTCAGTCAATGCAGAAAGTGAAGAGGCTGAGTGAGAACTTATCTACCATAGAAAGGGATTTCCAAGGCAGAGGGGATCATTCTTTGGAGTATATGAGGGCCAGGGAAGGGAGGAAGCCTAGAAAAATGCTGAAATGAGAATACAAGACAGGAAGAGGCTGGTCCTTGGTGTCTGCAAGGCTCCAGACAGAGTATTGGTGTTGTTTTCTAGATGGTGAGCCAAGCTGAGCTCTATAACTACTGTGTGTTGAATCCCTCTCTCCTGGGCAGGGTTACCATTTGTCTGGCATTCTCTATGTTGGCACACTTTACGGGCTACGGTATTTCAGTGGTGAAAGGGAAGTCTTCTCACCCTCCTGAGACAGAAAGGCAGATCTCCACTGCTCACTCTCTGAGAGACAGAGCAGGTAGACCCCTTGCTCCCATGTCTCTCCTGACTCTGCCGGACTCAGAGGCAGAGAGATGCCAGTCTGCTCACCTTTGAGCATCTCCCTGGGCCAATGGATGCAATGAACAAGTGAATCAGAGCTGACGTGACTTTCTTCCAAGGATAACTTGACGTCACCAGCCAAGCTTTTTCCAGGGTTTGCTTATTCCAATTCTTCCTCTAACAAGACAATCCAGACTCTTGCCAACCTTGGAAGGAGGAAGCTCCACGTGGCTCTACCAACCAGAGACCCCACAGCCGCCCTTGGCTCCCAAGGGCACCGCCTGGCAAAAATCTGTGGCAGTCTGGAATTGAGTGGAGGAATAGAAAGTCCTTTACAAGTTTCTAACTCCATGAATCTGTGTGTAATTTTTAAATTGAACTGACCCTCTTGTGACTTAAGAACAGCTCATATAAATTACCTGAAAATAGGGATTTTCTAGTCTCTATGATTTCATTATATAAAACATGGCTAAGGCTATTATGGACTGGGTTACAATTTGTTCTTCTTTTGTCTTCCCTTTGAAACACCTGTGTCTGATACGGGTTTTGGATGTTGTCAGCCACTCTCACTGGCTTCCCAGGTGGCGCTAGTGGTAAAGAACCTGCCTGCCAAACCAGGAGACATAAGAGACTCAGGTTCAATCCTTGAGTCGGGAAGATCCCCTGGAGGAGAGCATGGCAACCCACGCCTGTATTCTTGCCATGGACAGAGGAGCCTGGGGGGCTACAGTCCTCAGCGTCACAAAGGTCAGACAAGACTGAAGTTACCTAGCATGCACTCACTCACAGCCACTTTCACACGATTTTCCTGATCTCCCACCCAGGCTTGTGTCTTGGATGAACTGGAGATGTGTTTCTTACGAAGAAACGCAGAGAGATGCCCCACACAGCTTATCTGGGCCACAGAGCTCCTCAGAGCTAGCTCCTATCTCCCTCAGAAGGCAGCGTAGCCCTCTGCGCCTGGCTCGGATACCCAGGAGGCCAGGGTCCCCCTGGGTGTGGTGGCTGCAATCCACATCTCTGGTTCACCAGAAGGCACATAGCTCTCTGGAAACCACAGAAAAGGTGGTTTAGATGGAACTTCCTGGCACGCGTATTATGTGACCTTGAGATGATCACACGGCCTCTCCATGAAAGATCATCATTAATTGTCCTCTCTTCCTGAGACTCACGGATGGAGTTTGAATGTGGCCTCTTCATTTCCAGTAAGCAGCATCAGATCTGTGGCCCAGAAGTGTCCCAGGCAACTCCTGGGCTACTGAAGTGCCCAGCTCAAGGATGAGCATGGATTCCCACTTCCACAAATCCTCTCCAGATATGGATGTCTACACGTAAATGAACATTAAATACATTAAAAATGCAGTTCTTCATTGCACTAGTCACACTTCAACTGTTCAACAGCCTCACGTGGAGAGGACTTGGGAAGGAAGGTGAGCCTAGATAGCACAGGTGGAGAACCTCACATCAGTGCAGAAAGTCTGCTCAGAGCACAGCCTAGATGTGAGGAATCTCTCTGTCCACATACGTTTTGGCCCAGGCAAAACACTCACCATGTGAGAAGTCCAAATGTCTGTCTGTCTCCACTCCAGGCTGGAAAAAAACAGAGGCTAAACCAGGTCTTGTGATTACAGCATCATCAGTCAGTGGAAAGCAGAGAGAGGAGCGTGTGTGATGTGGGATCCAGCAGAATGGAGTCAAGAAAAAAAAGAAATTATAGTGAGTGTTTGTCCTTGTTCAGTCGCTTGATTCTGCTGCTATTCTAAGGACTGCAGCCCGCCAGGCTCCTCTGTCCATGGCATTCTCCAAGCAAGAATACTGGAGTGGGTTGCCATGCCCGCCTCTAGGGGATCTTCCAGACCCAGGGATCAAACCTGCATCTCCTGCATTGCAGGTGGATTCTTTACCACTGGGCCACTGAACAAGGTCAAATGGAAGCTCTTGGTAATAAGCTAGAACCAACTTAAACACTTTTTAAAGGTTTCAATTAATGCCAAGCCACCCAACCAGCCCGTCTGAGGAACCTGGGTGTGTTAAGGCCATGTGCATCTTCAAAGAAGGAGCTAGAAAGGATAGGATCCATCAGGTGGGATTTAAAACCCAGACACATGGATTCTATGATTTTTATTAAAAATATATTAAAAGCAAAAATGTTTTAAAAACTGTTGTGGGAGTCTGTATTAGTTTGTTAAGTGCTACTTCAGGAAATTAGCACAAACTGGACAGCTTCCAGCACAGAAATTTATTCTGCCACAATCCCAGACTCAGGCAGTCTGTAGTCAAGGCATCAGCAGAGTTGAACTCCTTCCAGAGGCTCTGATGGAGCATCCTTCCCACCTCTTCCAGCTTATGGAGGCTCCAAATGTTCCTTGGCTTGTGGCCACATCCCTCTAATTTCTGTTCCTGTCTTCAGGTGGCCTCCTCCTCTTCTGTCTGTTACAAAGACATTTCTCACTGGCTTTAGGGCCCTAGAATAGGAGAGGATAATCTCGTCTTGAGATCCTGAATTTATTCTCATCTGCAAAGATCTGTTTTTTAAATAAGGTCACATGCACAATGTCAGGGATTTGGACATGGTCGTATATTTGGGGGGACCACCAGTCAACCCATGATTGCACTGTTAAAATATACTAAATATCTTTATACAAGTTAAGTGACAGTAAGAAGTTATAGAGGGTTTTTTTGTATGTGTGTGAACTAATCTTAAAATAAGCTGATAATGCAAATCTTTAACCAAGCAATGGCTTACTAACATTAACCAGCTCTGCTATTGCAAAGATGTGTCATCAATGTCTTCAATGATCAACTTCTTCCCTAGGGCATTTGACTCATCCAAGTATAGCAGAAACTGCCCCATGGCAGGATCACATCCTGTAAGCACTCCCTGCAAGACGCTGACCATCTTCTCCCAGTCAGAAGGTGCAGATGACCTTAAAAATGCTCCACCTGTGAATACAGCAGCGCCTCGATGTCACCAACAGAGTGGTGGGGGCAGTGTTACTATGTGGTCTATCTCAGAACTGAAAACGCTGCTCAGTTCCGTCAGATTATTGGGAAAAGCCCACTCCAGGTATTACTGGTTCAGAAGAATAACCACAGAGACTATCGCCGTGGCTGCTGGGGGGTAGCTCTGGAGGGTAATATTCCATCACAAACGGGCCCTTAGAAAAGGACCACTGGAAAAACTGGATGAAGAGGGACGTAGATGACAGGGAGCCCATATCCTTCTGAGCTGGTCCTGACGTCTGCCTAAGAGAAGGTCCCCTCCGGGGCTCCATCCATCCTCCTCCAGAAGCTCGGGACACTCCGCCACATCACCCAGAGTGATGAATGAGCAAGAACTCCCATCTGCCCACGACAGTCAGAGAATATTCATTTCATTTCACTTCTGACCTTTTTGGTATTCTGCAAACCCACAAGGTCTGGCCTGCATAATAATATCTGAGGATCAGAAACGAGTGTTTAGAGTGTCAACCAACTCATGTTGACTTGACCTTATGGTTTTACAGCCCATATTAATCTTAATTGCACTGTTAAAATATAGTAAATATCTTTATACAAATTAAGTGATAATAGGAATTTGCAGAGATTTTTTTTTAATGAATTAATCTTAAAATAAGCTGATTATACAAATCTTTAACCAAGCAACAGCTAATCCAGAATACAAACATTACTTTGATAAGATACATTCAAACAAACATTTTTGTGGCAAATATTAGCAGAAACCAGGCAATAATTGGGAGATGGCATTCAGTGACTGACAGCTGTGAAAATAAAGGGAGGTGACCAGATGTTCCTGCTGCTCACAACCATGTTCTAGAACTTTGTCCACTCTGGATTTATCATCTTCTATTGGGTAAAATAAACTTGAGTGTTTGGGGCAAAGAGCATAAGGACGTTTTGTGAAATTCACGTCTTAGGGAGAACCCAAGGTGGGGGGTGAAATCTGTGTTAACCTTTACTATTAAGCTGTGTTTTCATTTGACAAGAAATACATTCATTCAGCAATTACTCCGTTCTTACTGTCAGACACTGCTTTTCCTGAACAAGTGATAACATTTTAGCTTTTCAAGTAACTCCTGAACTGAGCTTATTTACATCTTTGCTTTGGTCAACAGGAAGCTCAGTGCTGAATTTTTAATTTAGTCCAAAATGATATAGTATGCATTTCTTTTTAGTTTCATATGCAATACTTTCTTTTTGAGATTTTTATTGGATGTGAACCATTTTTAAAGCCTTTATTGAATTTGTTACAATATTACTTCTGTTTTATGTGTTGGTTTTTTGGCCACAAGTCATGTGGAATCTTACTTCCCCAACCAGGAATCAAACTCATCCTCCCTGCATCGGAAGACAAAGTCTTAACTACTGGATCACCAGGGAAGTCCCTCATGTGCAATATTTAACAGTTTGTAATGTACATGTAAAATGTTCTTATTGTTCAGTTGCTAAGTCATGTCCAACTCTTTGTAACCCCATGGACACCAGCAAGCCAGTCTTCCCTCTTCTTCACCATCTCCCAGAGAGAGCTCAAACTCACGTCCATTGAGTCAGTGATGCCATCCAACCATCTCATACTCTGTTGTCCTCTGCTCTTCCTGCCTTCAATCTTTCCCAGCATCAGGGTCTTTTCCAGTGAGTCAGCTCTTCACATCAGGTGGCCAAAGTATTGGAGCTTCAGCTTCAGCATCAGCCCTTCCACTAAACAGTCAGGGCTGACTTCCTTTAGGATTGACTGGTTTGATCTCTTTGCAGTCTAAGGGACTCTCAAGAGTCTTCTCCAACACCACAGTTCAAAAGCATCAGTTCTTTAATGCTCAGCTTTCTTTATGGTCCAACTCTCATGTCTGTACATGGAAAAACCATAGCTTTGTCTAGATGGACCTTTGTCAGCAAGGTAATGCCTCTGTTTTTTTAATGTGCTGTCTAGGTTGGCCACAGCTTTTCTTCCAAGGAGCAAGCATCTTTTAATTTCATGGATGTAGTCACCATCTGCAGTGATTTTGGAGCCCAAGAAAATAAAGTCTGTTATAATTTCCATTGTTTCCCCATCTATTTGCCATGAAGTGACGAGACTGGATGCCATGATCTAAGTTTTTTGAATGTTGAGTTTTAAGTCAGCTTTTCACTCTGCTCTTTCACTTTCATCAAGAGGCTCTTCAATTCCTCTTTGCTTTCTGCCATAAGGGTGGTGTCATCTGCATATCTGAGGTTATTGATATTTCTCCCAGCAATCTTGATTCCAGCTTGTACTTCATCCAGCCCAGCATTCCACATGATGTACTCTGCATATAAGTTAAATAGGCACAGTGACAATATAGAGCCTTGATGTACCCATTTCCCAATTGGAAACCAGTCTGTTGTTCCGTGTCTGGTTCTAACTGTTGCTTCTTGACCTGCATACAGATTTCTCAGGAGACAGGTAAGGTGGTCTGGTATTCCCATCTCTTGAAGAATTTTCCAGTTTTTTGTGATCCACACAGTCAAAGGTTTTGGCATAGTCAATAATGCAGAAGTAGATGTTTTTCTGAAACTTTCTTGCTTTTTCTATGATCCAGTGGATGTTGGCGATTTGATCCCTGGTTCCTCTGCCTTTTCTAAATCCAGCATCTGGAAGTTCTCGGTTCATGTACTGTTGAATACAGCTCCTGCTGTATACCTTCTTTATCCAACTTCCTCACCCCCATAAATTGCATCGCTCTCATATTTGTTAATCCTTTTCTTTTCCATTTTATTTAAATACTTATATCCTGTATATATGTGTGTGTGTGTGTGTGTGTGTGTGTGTGTGTGTGCTTATAAAATATGGTCTTTGATTTGCCTCTGAGCCTCATAAAATCGTATTATATTCTACTCATTGTTTTAGGATTTTTTTTAACTTATCATATTTCTAGGATTTATTCATGCTCTTGTAAGTAGATGCTTTTCCCCTTATAGTTATCCATCTTAAGATAGATATCTAATTTAAGAAAAATTCTCTATCTATTTTCTTGTTGATGAATTTAGGGGGATTTCTGGGTTTTCTTGTATGAACAAGACTTCTATGAATACTCATGTACCTGCCTCCCAGTGCATATATGCAAAAATTTCTGCTGTATATCTAAGTATGAAATTGATTTATCAAATATTCACCTTCATAAAAGTATGCCAAATTATTTTCCAAAGGAGTGGCTACAAATTATATTTGATTCAGCAATAAAGAAACACTCCTCTTGATTCAGAGCCTGATAAATATTAAATTTTGTCAGACTTCCACATTTTTGACCAACTGTGCCTGCCAAGTCACTTCAGCAGTGTCCGATTCTTTGTGATTCTATAGAATGTAGCTGGCCAGGCTCTGTCCATGAGAGTCTCCAGGCAGGAATTCTGGAGTCGGCTGCCGTGACTTTCTCCAGGGGATCGTCCCAACCCAGGGATCAAACCTGCATCTCGTAAGTCTCCTGCATTGGCAGGTGAGTTCTTTACCACTAGTGCCACCTGGGAAGCCCTTTGACTAACTAGTAGATGGAAAATAGTACGCACCTTCATTTTTCTGATTGCTGCTGAAGTTGGCTTTTATTTCCCATGTTTTGTTCACACGTTTTAATGCTCACAGGATTATCCAGGTTTCCATGTGTTTGTCTGCATGTGGCTGTGTTTTGAAAACTTATAGTTTCCTAGAAAGGCATCAATTTTATCTCATTTTTCTGTTTTTTAAAAAAATATTATTTGCATTATTTGTATAATCTCTGCAGTACCTAGAGCTATGTTCCATTTTCATTTTTAACTTTTTAAAACCGCTCTTCTCACTTTTTATTAATCTTTGTTAATTCTGCTATTGTTTTTCTATGATTTTAAGTATGTAGCTCATTAATTTTGAGTCTTTCATTATTTTTAATATATGCATCAACTAATATATGCATCAAAGGGTCTAAATATCTCTTGATGTATCTCATAAGTTTTCTATAAGTAGTATATTTGTTATATTTTGTTCTAAACACTTTCTAATTTCTCTTTTAAATTTTTTCTTTGATCATGAATTTTTTTGAAGTGACTAAAAATATTCCAAATATAAAGAGTTTTATAGGTGTCTATTTGTTTTCAGATTCTAGTGTAATTAAAATGGGTTTAGAGAATACTATCTGATTAAAATTCCTTGAAATTTTCTGAGGCTAGAATTATGGTCAGACAAGAGGTCAGTTTTTAGCGAATGCTCCACCTGCTTTGTTTTGTAATTATTTCTTTCCCCTGCTTGCTTTGGGCTTAGTTTGTTCTTTTCAAATTTTTAAGGTAGAGACTTGGATTACTTCTTTGAGACCTTTCTTGTTCTCTAACGTAATTCCTCACTGTTATACATATCCCTCTGAGCACCGCTTTAGCTGCATCCCACAAGTTCTGACATACCTACTTTCATTCAGTTCCAAGTATTTTCAAATTATCCTTGAGATTTCTTTGACCATGGAATTTGAGCAATGTGTTTTCTAATTTCCAAATATTTGAACATTTTCCAAATATTTTCCTGTTATTGATTTCCAGTATGATTCCACTGTGGTCAAATAACATATTTTGTATGATTTCAATTCTTTTACTTTTGAAATCAATTGTTTTATGATGGAAATATGGTTTTCCTTGAAGACTGTTTGCCCTTGAAAAGAATGTATATCCTGCTGCAGCTGGATGGAGTGTGTTATAAATTTTAATTTGGGTCAAGTTGATTGACAATGCTGGGAAAATCTTCTCTATCCTCACTGATTTACTACCTACTTATTCTATTGATTATTAAGAAAGGGAGTTAACTTCTCTCATTATTAACTTTAGATTTATCTATTTATCTTTCAATTTATATCAGCTTTGCTTCAAGTTAGGTATATGCGCTTTTAGGATTATTACATCTCATTTGGGAATTGATCCTTTTATAATTATACAATGTTCCTTTCTAATTTCCTGTAATGTTCCTTCTTCCAGAATCTATTTTTTGTGATAGTAATGAAACCACTCCAGCTTTTCTTTGATCTGTATTTGCCTGGTATATCTTTTTCCATCAGTTGATTTTTAACTTATCTACAGAATTGTAGATAGATTTCTTGTAGACAATACATAGTTGAGAATAATCAAAACAACAAATCAGAGACCTCATTATCTTGTTAGTCATTTGAAGTTCAAGGCATTGATTTTCCTCTTGATTCTGCCTATTTAAAAAATTTAGATTCCTTAGATAGCTGCTTTATTCACTCTTTATAGAGTTTTTCATTGTAATCAGTGTGAGGGATGGGTGGAGTGAGCTTATTCCATCTTAGCCAAATCTTGAAGTCATTATGTACATAGTTGTATATACACACACATACTGCTGCTGCTAAGTCGCTTCAGACATGTCCAACTCTGCGTGACCCCATAGACAGCAGCCCACCAGGCTCCCCCATCCCTGGGATTCTCCAGGCAAGAACACTGGAGTGGGGTGCCATTGCCTTCTCCGTATACACATGCACGCCACTATTATATACATAGTTTCTGGTTTTTGCAGGGAGGATGAGGCAAAAGCTGAAGCTGGTAGGACATTTGGGACTCTGATGCAATTAACAGGAGACCAAGACTAAGGATATCACAGTAGAAACTTAGCTACCACTGGAATTGAGACATGTTCTGAAAGTAAATCCAATAAGAATGCTCAAGAGTATCCACCGATGTTAAGAAAAACAAGAAATCAAGGCTATTTTCTGGGATTTTGACCTGAGAAATTAAGTGATGTTATCATTCACTGTAAAAGGGAAAATTTGAGGAGAGGAAAGTAGATTGAGGAAATCTGGTCTATGTTTTGACAATAGTAAATCTGGAGAAGAGGAACGATATTAAGATGGAGAAGAGGAACAGTGATCAGATAGCAGTTTGGTCAACAAGAGTCAGCAAGGAGGGCAGGAATGAGAAACTGACAAAGTAGGAGAAAAACAAAGGGTTGGTGTCCAGAGAACAAACAGAAAATGTTCCAAGAACACATAAGTGATAACCACATTGCCTGCTGCAGACTGGTCACATTAGATGGAAAATATCAGCACTGATTTGGGCAAGCTGATCATGACATAGCCATTTCAGTGAGCTCATGCGAGCCCATGTCTGACGTGGCTGAGAAGGAGATGGGGATAAGGAAGTGGGGCAGTGAGCCGCCACCTTTCGTACTGTGGTTCGTCATGTAGGGGCCCCTGTGTGTGTGCAATAAAGATGCGCAATCAGAAATCACAAGAGAAACTGAAAATAGGAACTGCTTGATCCTCTGTTTCTTCTTTTTAACGTACTCTCATTTCTATAGCTTGAGAGAGGATTCTATGCCCGCTAACTAGATAAATGGAACACTTGCAAATGAAAGGCTTAGAGAGTTTGGGGCCATTTCTTTCCTTACTAATAATCATCAAGTAGTTCTTCTCAGTGTAGACAGACTGAATCCAGCTCCCCAAGTCACTGAGTCATGATACTTATGATGGGAATTTCTAAATTAAAAATCCCAAGATTCCAAGAAATGTCTTCTGTATCTCTGAGGCCTGAAAATAAATACAGAACCATTTCAAAATTGGTTTAATTGGAAAAGTATTGCATGTATGTGATTTAAAACACCAGGAAGTATAGAAATATATACAATGAAAACATAATCCACTCTCCATCTTGGGTCTCATTTTTCAGAAGCAACCGTGGTCAACAGTTTATTTTGTACTTAGGATTATATCCTTCATTCTGATACAAAGAAAATAATATTGAACCCAATGCTCTTTAGCTAGTTTTCACTTAATAAAATATCATAAAATTTACTCCACTTTGTCACCTGCAAAGCTATCTCATTTTTTCCAATTTTCACTCATATTCTATATCACATTTTTGTTTTAAAAGCTCCTTATCAATTTCAGATTGCTTCTTGGTTTGATTTTTTTTCCCCTCTTTCTACAGACCATCCTACAGTTAACTTACTATTACACATCTCTTGGTGTCTTGGCAAATACATCTATAGGGTAAATTCTTCACAAAGGATACACACTTTAAAATTTGGATAGATATTGACGAATGGCCTCCAAAACCCTATTTTCAGCTTGTATTCTCACTCATAGAGTATGAGTATGGCCTCTTTCCACGTTCTTGCCAACGCATATGTGATGGATGACATCAGTGGCCTGGATCCTTCACCTTCCCCGGACCGTGGCCTTTTCACATGACTTTGCAGCCCCTCCCACCAGAAGACCAGAAGTGTTCTCCGCTGCGGACTGTGAGCCTGCCCTTGGACTGGCCCCGGCACAGTGGGGCACTTACTCTGGCCTTGCAGCAAGCCTTAACAGCACTGGGCTCCTTTCTGGCGCTGGCCCTCAGGTGAGACTGCTCCAGACGCCTGCCTGTGTCCTGAGGAGCTGTGCTGGGCCACCGAGGTCAGGAGCAGACTCCGCGTGCCCCCAGCCCCCTGCTGGCCACTGCTGTCTCTGCAGGAGGATGAGCCCTCCTGTGAGCAGTCTCAAGGCCCTGGGGCTATTCTGCTCTCACAAGCATCTTGTTTCACCTCCTCTCCTTATACTTCCACTTGAACAGATTGACCTTGCAACCCACCTCTCTCCGCCTCTCAGTCTGATATCAGGCAGAAAAATTCCTCTGGCCCCCCAGAGTGAAGACGACCCAGAGGTCATCGGTCATAATTCACTATATGGAAACAGGGGTTCAGCAGCAAACCCCTCTGTTCTCCTTTTCCCACCCCCTCCCTTCCTCCAGGCCGCACGGGGGAGGGGTTGCAGGGTCTCTGGACTCGCAGAGCCCACCCCTCACATTAGCATTCTTTCCTCTCGGCTGCGGCCTCCCTGGGACCTGCAGCTGGACAGAAGCACCCCAGCGGGGATTCCTGGTTCCCAGGACTGGGACTGGGGAGGTTGGGGGAGGGCCAGAGAGACAGGGGAACAAAAAAAACCAGGCGCTCACTCTCACTCCAGTCCTGACCTGGTCAAGTCCAAAACCTCCTTTTAAATCATTCTTCATTTATCTCCTATGTTTCTTGAAACCGTCTGATACCTGTGAATATTACTGTTGTTGTTGCAGTTATTATTATTTTGTCATTCTCCACAGTCTTAGATGCACTGAGGCTAGCTTTTCGACCGGGAGGCAGACTTTCGACTTGTCAGAGCAAAAGTATGTGAACCTCAGTGAAAAGCAGAGCAAAAGCACCATTAGCCAGGAGACAGAGAAGATCCTGACATGATTTTCTGTATTTTAATGACTCAAAAAGAGTAATAAGAAAACTCCCCCTACAGGCGTTCTGTGGTTAATGCAAAGTAAACAGATGAATGTCCTGCAAAATATTTGCTCATCTATCAAGCCCATCCAGAGTATTTTCATTTGACTTCTTCAAAACAAAACCTTTTCATCACCACCTCCTGAAACTCCTATCCCAGGAGACGAATAATGCAGCGAGCACGCCCCTCCCCCCTTTCCAATCCCTGAGGCCACAATGTCGAGTTCAACAGCAACGCTGCAGGGGCTGCTTTTGCAAAAAGATGAAAATCATCCTGTACATTTTCCCTCTTATTCTCATAAATTCACCGGGCCAAAGGAAGGACTTTTAACAGGGGTACGTTTGATTCCTCCCAAACTGAAGACGAGGAATGAAAGAACATGAATGCCATATAAAAATCAGTGTCAAAAAAAAATTAAAATAAAAATCAGCGTCACCACAGCCCTCATTGACCTCAGGGACAAACACATAATCGATAAATAAACTGCAAGTGACCCATCGACTGGCCGCAATCCAGAACTAAACTTCTTGTCTTTTTACAAACCCACTCTGCCCTTGTCATCACCTGAAAATTCTTATACCAGCTTGTATTTTAGGGCCGGCAAGCAAGGGTGGTTTAAATATTTGGTTCCAAATTAGAAGGAAAGCCTGCCAGAAAATCACTTTGAATTAAATAAAGTGGTGTTTTATGGGAATCCCTCACAGCTGCTGCACTGGGAGAAATACACCTCGCTGTACCTTTGTCCTGGGCACTTTAAATGAAACGGTCTGTCCTGGGAGGCCCTGGAGAGGCAGGAAGTCCAGGCTGCGGTCACCCCAGGGGGTTAGGAGGTGGGTGCAGGGTAAGCTCCTGATCACAAAAGTGCATTGTTCCTTCTGGAGGGCTCATTACTCTGCAGGTACATATATTATGAGTCCGAAAGTTGAAAAAGCTCTCGGTTTTTGTTAATGTGTTCCCAAACCGCTAATTATTTCCTGCTGTCTGGAGGTGCTAAATGCATAAACACATGGACTCCTCGGCTTAAAAAATTAGGGCTTCATTTTTCTCCTGGATGAATCAGTGTGAAGGATGATGCCGTATACCGAGATCTTACCCAGATGAGGACTAAATGCTGTGCTGGGGGGCCCCGTGCGGGGTCGGGGGGGCAGCAGCTCTGAGCACAGGCCGAGGACCAGCTCACTGGCTTCCTCCTTGCAGAGAACAGGGGAGGAGTGTGGTGCCTTCAGCTCAGCTGTGGCTCTGAGCTCACAGAGGAGGCCTAAGAGCGTGCTGGCGCCGCCTGACAGCACACGCTGATGAATAAACACGGGCCTCAGAGGTCTTGTGTGGACCCAGGACAGGTAAAAACAAATTGTCCCTTTGGCTAAGTAGATACGTTCATGTCCAGAGAGGCGCTTTATAAGTTCTAAAGCTCAGTAGCAGTAAGTCCTCAATTACATTGATGTTTAAGTTATTCTACATCAAATGTCAACACTTCACAGTTAAATGTCAACACTTTGATTAATTCCAGGATGTCCCTACACGTCCTTCCCCCAACCCCACCCCAGGCCCACGTAGGCAAGTGGGGATGAAGCTGAGTTGATATCACTGAAGGAAAATAAATCATCCATGCCTTCTCAGGCTGGTGCCAAGCCCTGGGTCCTGGACAGTCATGGGCCATGGCTGCTGGTATCTGGACCACACTTGGCATGAGGAGGTGACCGTTCTGCAGTGACATTCTGTGGGAGTCGTGGGGGGTGGTCATGTGACCCCAGGACACAGGCCATCTTACAGCATCTGGGGTCCCGGGAGTCAGTGATCCTGTAAAAACTCATGCCCACCTGGCCAGAGCTGGAGAGAAGTTTGTGGGGGCTCGGGGGCTTGGGGGGGAAGAGCCATAAGCCAGAGGTTCTGTTTATTCTCTGGCGTCGGAGATAACAGACCCGCTCTTCTCAGCCTCATGCTGGGCCCCACCTGTTCAAAGGCACCTTCTTCAGGAAGACCTGTGCCTCGCCCTTCTGCCTCCCACAGGTAGCAAGGGACATGGCATCACCTCCTGTCTCATACCGGATTTAAAGTCCAGATCAGGATTTGGGGGTGTAGCTTCCCATTATAAATCAACTATGCTTCAATAAAAGATTTTTTTAAAAAGATGCAACTGTGTGAATCAACTATACTCCAATTAAAAATTGATTTAAAAATAATAAAGCCAGTGAGTATTATCATAAAATAAAAACTACCACTTTCAGAGGAAAGAAACTGCAGTGGACCCCACTTCACACCTTTCACATAGAATGAAAGTGACAGGCTCCTCTGTCCGTGTGATCCTCCAGGCAAGAATACTGAAGTAGATTGTCATTTCCTTCTCCAGGGGATCTTTCTGACCCAGAGATCGAACTTGAGTCTCCTACATTGCAGGCAGATTCTTTACCACCTGAGCCACCAGAGAAGCCCTTCACACAGAATGACTATTATCAAAAAAGTAAAAGAAACTGCATGCCAATGCAAGAGACATAAGAGATGTGAATTCGATCCCTGGATTAGGAAGATCCCCTGGAGCAGGAGATAGCAACCCACTCCAGTATTCTTGCCTGAAAAATCCCATGGATGGAGGATCCTGGCAAACTACAGTCCGTGGAGTCACAAACAGTCGGACACAACTGAAGCGACTGGGCACACAGCACATCCCTATTTATCCCCTAAGCAATGGATATATGAATACTACCAGTTTAGAATGAGCTACTAAAGACATGGACAGAAACAACAGAAGTCGCATTCTGCATTCTGAGACTTGAAGAAGAGCAAAATGTCGATAAAAATCATGTTACATGTGCATACTAGATCAGCTGAACTCCAGTGGCCAGATTCTTACAGTCTGTCTGGGTAGGGTTTACCTGGTTTTCTACAGAGTATCCCCATTTCCTGGAGATCACAGTCATGGCTGTAGAATCACTTACTGGCCACTGTTCAGGGCACCTCTGATTCACATCATAGTTTATGAAGTGCCATGAAAGGCACGGACAGGTGCCTCTCTGAGTGTAAAGGCCCATTGACTTCAATCCCATCAGAAAGTGGAGGGAACATTATTCTTCCAGAAATGCTTTTAGCAAGTATTCTGTTCAGCCATTTGGCTCAAGGGGTGCTTATACATCTTCCCAGTAAATGAAACTGTTCATATTTTAGTCACTCCCAACGAGGATGAATAGGGTCCTCCCACGAGGTCCTGCAGCGGGAAAGTCAGGCTGCCTCGGTCTGTTTGCTGGTTGGTTTTGTGTTTGTGTCATCCTCATCTCCTCTCCCACCGATGCTCACTGCCATGCAGCCTGGCAGACGGGTATCCTTTCTCAGAATGAGCTCTGGGTTTTCCTATTTGAAGGCAACTCCATCACCTTCCATCCTCCTACTCCTCCATCCGCCTCCTTCCAGCCCTACCTCTTTTCTGAGCCAGTCACCGAGTGCAGTTACCTCTTCTGACCACGTTTCTAGCACCTACGTTTCTTGCCCCAGATGATACATATCCACTCCCTGTGGCCCGCCGGGCTCCTGTCTGCAGTTCACCTCTCCCTGCACCAGGGAATGTCTCCCTCAGTTACACCCTCTGTCCAGCACACACCCGGGCTGACCTTCCACCTGTGCCGTCCTGAGCTTGATCTTCACATCCACTCACCAACAAGCCCAACCCTGCCTCTCTGCATTCCATCTTCTCTGGTTTGAGGGGTCTTCTCCAGATGGCGGTCACTCTGGACCTCAAAGTGCATCTTCCATCTCTGCTGTCCTCACTGCTGTACTTACCAGAAACACTTTTCATCCTCACGTGCCCCCCTCTGCGTCTTTTTCTCTCACTGCCAGTCCACGTGGAATAGCATCTCTCCCAGGAAGGGTTCCACCCCTTGTCATTGTTGCCATTCAGTTGCTAAGTCATGTCCCACTCTTTGCAACCCCATGGACTTCGGCATACCAGGCTCCTCTGTCCTTCAAACTATCTCCAGGAGTTTGCTCAGACTCATGTCCACTGAGTCAGTCATGTCCTTTGAGTCGGTGATGCCATCCAGCCATCTCATCCTCTGTTACCCCATTCGCCTCCTGCACACAATCTCCCCCAGCATCAAGGTCTTTTTCACAGCTCACCTCCTCCAATACTTACTGTCTGCACCTCTCTTTTGACTTCTATGCATCAAAACTACAGTCAAAAAGAGCAGTCAAAACTACATGGAAAGTAAGATGCTTTATTTCCTACACTAGACATTTAGAAGGAAGGGATCGTGTAGCATTTCCCATCAATTTCTACACAGGATTTAGCACAACGCTGTACCTTCTGCAAATTCTCAATAAACACAAGTTAATTGAGTATAAAAACCTTGTATTCTTTGCTTTACAACATACCTGCTCCTGTTGTATTTGTGTCTCACTAGACTATCTAGAGGGCTTCCCAGGTGGCTCAGTGGTAAAGAATCTGTCTGCCAATGCAGGAGATGCAGGGGACGTAGGTTCAATCCTTGGGTCCGGAAGATCCCCTGGAGGAGAAAATGGCAACCCACTCCAGTATTCTTGCCTGAAAAATCCTATGGACAGAGGAGCCTGGCGGGCTACAATCCATGGAGTTGCAAAGAGTCAAACATGACTGAGCTACTGTGAACACATTCATGCACACAGACCACCTAGAAACAATAAACAAAGGTGGGCTTCCAACTCCCCCCGCCACTTTCAGGGCTTCCACAGTTGAGATGAGCTTTGGAGCCCCAACATCAAGAAGATATTCTTGGATCCTGTGCCAGGCTGAGACGGCAGGCCTACTTAAGTGAGAATGCATGGCAGGGTGCTTTCTTTTCTCCTAACGGCACTGTTTTTTCTCTGAATGGCAATGCCTGAATTTACCATCCTGTGTCCCAGGACAAAACCAGTGATCCATTTCTGGCTTTCAAACAACCCCTAGCACATGCTGATGAAAGAATTGGTGTTTGTAGCTCTGCTCCAGGCAAGCATAGCCACCAAAGAGTCAGATATAGAAAAACAGTGATAAAGGACTGGGTGGAGGAGGCCGGAGGAAGTTCTAAGCATGGGAATGGGGCCTGGGAGCCTGGGAGACATTCCAAGGCTGTCCCAGCTCCTGAGGGAGGTCAGGGAGCCCTGTGTCAGCCCCTCTTCTGAACATGGAAGAGCGCGCGGAACAGAGCCAGGATGCCCCCTGTGGCCCCTGGAAGCGGGCATCAATCAAGCTGCCGGCGGAGGATGGAGCACTCTTCTTGCCTCAAAAAGAAATAGCAGTGAAAAAAAATTAACAAGGCTAAAATTAAACAGTAGTTGAGGGGTTTCCTTATATTCTGATTTTTAAAATTGTAAAACATGTCTAAATGCATGAATGAAGAGTTCCAGGGCAATGCTACAAAACTGTAAAGATGGCATGTGCCAATCTAAGACTCCTGGTTTTAATGGGACACCTGAGACTTCTCACAAATAGGCATGAGGTTGTCCGCTAGTCTGAGTGTATGCATGTGTTTTTGTTTTTGTTTTTTGAGGGGGGTAGTGTTGTTATTCTGTTGCTAAGTTGTGCCCAACTCCTAGAGATCTCATGGACTCGTGCATGCCTTGTCTTTCACTATCTTCCAGAGCTTGCTCAAACTCATGTCCATTGAGTCGATGATGCCATCCAACCATCTCATCCTCTGTCGCCACCTTCTCCTCCTGCCCTCGGTCTTTCCCAGGGTCAGTATGTGTGTGTTTGTGTGCGGGGGGTAGTATACATGTATATTATCCACAAGTATAGTAATATAATGTATTAGGTGAGCCCAGAAAATTCACATGATACAGGATACTTTCTCAACATAATTAAAGTATCCCACATCAAATACATTTTTCCTTTATATTTTTGATTATATCTACTTCATCACTTCCATATTTTTAATGTAAGTATAGTTGATTTACCAAATTGTGTTAGCTTCAGGTATACATGTGTGTGTGTGTATATATACATATATATACACATATAAGTTTTCTTTTAAAGGTTTGGCTGCATATGTATTTCAATTTTGTTGCTTTCTTCCAATTCCTTGTATTCTCTATTTTCTAATTTCTTATTATTTCCTTTCATCATTATTAATTATATCCTACTTCTTTCTTCAGATAACTTCTTAAATTTTTAGTCCTAATTAATTAATTCTTAATTATTGGTTGTCTAGTGCTAACTGAAAAGAAGGTATAATTTGTCTTCTAACTGTAGTTTGGGCATATCTGGTATCTTTTCGGCAGTGGCATCCTTATTGCAGTCATGTTTTATCTAGTCCACAATTGTACTGACCAATG